GGTTGAAACAGACCCAGTGTTCAGTGAAAATATCATGTATGTTGACCATAAAAAAAAGTTTCAACAATGCATCACAACGTTCAGCTGCCTTTGAGAAAGCATTGAAAACCGGGTTCATCTCAGGTGACAGGTGATATCTGGGCAGCATCAGTAACAAAGAGAGTGTGTGTCTGCTCCTGTGTGAATTTTAGAAACTGAGAGCCCCTAGTGATGAAGAAATACAGCTTCAGTTATAAAGTTATAAAGGCTAATGGGCCGAACGTAATACATTAAAAAAAAAAAAAACAAGGAGGAGCGATGTTTAAGGAGGTGGAATAAAACTAAGAGGTGTCAAGGGAGGAGCTCTGGGCAAAAAATATATATATATCCACCACGCTTGTCTCCTGATCAGTCTGCACACTTTCTAACCTTCAGAAGCTTCACCATCCTTCACAAGCATCAAGATGAGAGGTGAGACCAGATATGAGGTGTAACTGCTATCATGAACAAGAACGACTTCTCAGCTGTAGATGGCTCATTAGTGCCTTTATAATACAATCAGACAAAACAATAACAGTTTGAGGAATAAAGTAAAGCATAATGGAGGAATTTTACAATTTCTGAAGGTCTACTGTTAAAGCTTGTCTGTGAAAAATTAGGAAAGGGATAGAAAAGGACTCAGTGTCAGCTCACTGCAGCTTATGGTGAGTCTTTCTGGAACTAATCATGCTTGTCTTTGCTCTTTTTTTCTTCCAGCAATCATATTGCTGTGTCTGCTGCCTGCAGCGGTCTGGGGAATGTTTTCCTGGGATCCAAAAGACCACACAACACCCAGAGCAGACCACTATCTAAGTGAGAGACTTCAAAGAAATAGGTCTGTTGTCTGAATGTTTCGTCTCCACATACTGTCGTCTGTGAACTCGTACTTGTGCTTGTGTGTGCAGAGTGTTACGACCAGGAGTCTTGTGGCTGTTGTCTGATGGAGAGACAAATGAACAGGATGGAAATGTACTTTAACAAGAGTGTGTACCACATGCATGAGCTGCTGATGAAATCCAAAACTGCCCTCATGAATATGAGAGGTGAGTAACACGTCTATGAGTCCCACACACCAGGACACTGTTTAGTTCTCTGACTTGACCAGTTCTTCCTCTGGATCTGCAGCCAGCCGTAGCGCCTTCTCTGTCGCTCTGAACAATGCCAACAATATGACCTGCTTTGGCCCCTTCGCTGAGAACATGGTCATCATATACGAACACGTATTCCTCAACCTGGGAGGCGGCTACAACGTGAACACTGGTATCTACACTGCTCCCCGCTCTGGTTTCTACAGCTTCGCCGTCACTGTCTACAGTAAAGTTAGCGATGTTAACCAAACCATAGCCGTCTGCGCCAGCCTGCAGAAGAACGGTATGGTGGTGTCAGGATCCACTGAAAAAAACAATGAAGACCAAGAGGACAGCACCACCATTGTAGTGGGCATTGGCTTGAATGCTGGGGACGAGGTGGCGGTCATCCTGCCTGCAGGATGTTTCATCTGCGACAACAAAAGCCACTATAACACTTTCACTGGCTTCCTGCTGTATGCTGACGACCACACTCACTATACCACAGCGTAACTGCGCTGTGCTTTGTACCAACTTCTGCCCTATACTGAAAAGATTGACGTCTGCTAGATGAAATCTTTGTACGGCGACACCAGTGGCTTGTAACTCATGATCTGTTGTACTCTCACCATTTATTTTTCCTGAGATTATGTCCTGTTAGTGATTGAGATTTCAGCTTTGAGGAATGATTTGAATGCATCTTCTCTGGATTCCACTTGTGCAATTTCTGAGCTTGCAAACCTTTTCTGTCTTTTGTGTGTAATTATCTTGACTGTTGCTGGTCTTTAGCAAATTAAATGATGTGATCTGTCAAGCTTACCAACAAAATAAACTAGATTTCTAAACAAACAGTTGATCTTGTGAATTCTTTTGTTTCAGTCTCCTTAAAAAAAAAACAAAAAAAACCAAAGATCCAAACATTACATTACATTTAATGTAAAAAAACTATGATGTTGTTGTTTTTTTACACGGCTGGAGTAAATATTAGACCACCTGCTAATAAAACGATAGAACCCCAAGAGCTGTGCACATTTAGTCACAATTACAAAACTGTATTCCTCATGAAATATGAAGATAAACTGAAAGGAATGTCATATCACCACACACACGAGTCCATAATAAACTCATCAGAAGAGGATTGTTTTGTGCCACAGAAGTACAGCACAACTACAACACACATATAATGTTAACTTTTTTTAGAGCGACTTTGTGTATAAATCTGAAAACACTACATGCAACCGCATCTGCACGAAATCTGTCACATTGCACCTTGGGCTATATCCCATATGCAGCCCGAATGATGTTAACACATGATAAAATATTGATTTTGGGTTTATTACCGAGATCGGCTCATTTAGTTGTTTTCTACGTGTACGTAATATATTATATTTCCATATTGCCGTCAAACACTGTCAGGCGCAATGCGACTGATTCCGTGCAGATGGGTCACATATCTGTAACGAAATCAGTGAAGAAGACAAAGACGTGGCTGAACGGCGACGACACCGGGCACTGGGCTGAAAGAGTTCATTTACAACAGATAACTCCATCTTCACAAACCTTCAGAAAACCCACTTTTCCATCATCTACCTGAGACAACATCTATCAAACTCAAGTTACATCTCTTTTTGTAATTTCTACTGAGTCAGATCCACTCAGCTTCAGTCTGATTGATATCATCTCAACAAAAAAAACAAGTTTTCTGAAAATCTACAAAATTACACAGTTGCTTGTTTTTGCAAATAAACTCTTCAGATGCATGAACTAGTAGCAGGTAGATTAAAATCATTGCTACTCAGGCTGCATGTGTAGAAGGAAGCGGGGAGGTGACAGAAGTCAGCAGGTGGATGGAGACGCCTCAAATAACAACTGAAAAGGGGATTTTCTTTCATGAATGGAATATAAATATATAATGTATGTGTGCATTTCTACGTTTTATAGGGCAATCTTTCTGGTAACCCAAAAGAAAAATCAAGAACAGATTGGTGCAGTCGACCAGTAACTCTAATATTTTTCTATTTAAGGGACTGTGCAGCTTCCCGAGGAACTCAAGCTGATTTGTGACTTCCTGCTTGTAGGTAAGAAAAAAAAAAAATTACTTGCACCGAAATGCACATTTAAACTCTCAGGCATGGCTTGTTTGCTGATGATACAGCGCTGACACCTGTTTCCAGACGACACACGACACCTGGCCCGCATCGATAACAATGCCCTGGAGGGCGTGTGTCTGCTTTTGAGGGATTTTGGAAAGTGAGAGCGCCTGGTGATGATGACATTGAGACATCCCCAGCTGTACAGTTATAAAGACAAATAGGGTGGATGATTAAAAAAAAAACAAAACAAAACATAAACCAGGTGGAGTAATGTCAGAAGAGGAGGGATAAAACTGAGAGGTAACAAGGGAGGAGCTCTGAGAAAAATATATATCCTTGATGCTTCCTCTGCTGATCATTCCGTCACATCTTCTGCGCTTCTGAAACTGTCACCGTTTAGCATCAGCATGAGAGGTGAGACACTTGCACACCAAACTGGCATCTGATACAAAGCTTTCAGTGGTAAATGTCGTCTTACTCTTTCCTCCCCAGCTGTTGTGTTGCTGTGCCTGCTGCATGCAGCTCTTGCAAATCCGTATAGCTGGGAAAAACCTGACCCTAAAACCGACTACACAATGCCAACTCCAGGTCCCAACGCAGGCAGCGGTAAGGATTTGTGGTTCCATAATCAAGTGTGCCATCTCTTCTGCAAGTGTATTCATGTGGATTTATTTGTGTTCAGCATGCAAAAAGTCCGACCGTTACTGTGGTTGCTGCAAGATGACGCAACAGACGTACTGGCTGAGGAGGTACTTTACCGACACCCTGAATACGCTGGAGGACCATTACACAGAAGCACTACAGTATCTCAACATGATCAAAGGTGAGTGATGAGGAATTTCAAAGTGTCTTGAAGACCCCGATCCACTGTTCAAATTTCTAACCTGTCGTCTCCCGTTGCATTTCCAGACAGCCGTGTTGCCTTCTCCGTCTCTCTAAACAGTGAAGAAAACATGAGATGCATGGGCCCCTTCCGCAGCAACAAAACCATCGACTACAAACACGCCTTCCTCAACCTGGGAGGCAGCTACAATACGAGCACTGGCATCTTCACTGTTCCCCGCTCTGGCGTCTACGTCATCGCCCTCACCGTCTACAGCGATGCCGGCTCTCCTGGCAACACCTTGGCCGCCTGCGCAATCTTGCATGTTAACGGTAAAGTGGTGGCAGGACCCAGTGAAAAAAATAAGCAAGACCAAGAGGACAGCGTAACTGTTGTGTTGGCCCTTCACCTGAAGGCCGGGGACAAGGTGATGGTCACCCTGCCCATCGGATGTTGCATCTGCGACAGCTACCACCACTACAACACTTTCTCCGGCTTCCTGCTGTACCCCACTGAATGAGACAGGGGGTCTTTGTACCAGCACTTGCTTGACTAACAAGGTTATAGCCCGCTAGATGAAAATTTTCTTCAGCTTTTGAGGGGTGCCTGGTTTTAAATCCATCGCATGTGGATTCAACTCGTGCCATCTGTATGCTTGCAAACCTCAAAAACAGTATCTTTGTTCTGCTTATCTTTTTCTTGCTGAAACGGTGGAATCCAACATTTTAGAGAAACGTGCTTCATGCCCACGCACCTGTGAAATGACCAGAAATGAAATCAAGTTGTTTTTCTCTTTATTCTTATAGCTGATTTCCTACATGAGATTTTGGATGGCTACACTGGAGAGGTTGTTGATGAAAATAAAGTATTAAAATATTACCCCCTCTTTTTGCTTTCTTCTTTTTAAGATATTACATTTTAGATTTTGGAAAATTACAACAAAAGCACCACATCATTAAATAAATACTAAAGCACTCCATACAGACCACATCAAACCATATCAGAAGTAATTTATTATGCGATATACAATGCATGTGTTAACATATATTTACCACAATAAACAAATTACTAACAATAGTAAGCTTTTCTTTAGAACAAAGATTTATCAAAGAGGAAATCCACCACTTTTACACACCAGTTACTACGAGTACGTAATGAAAACTGATAAAATGCCACACATGATGCTACTTGAGCCAGCCAAGCAAATGATATATACAGTTATTTTTTCAAAGTAAAGGATGAATAAAAACATAACAAATACACATTTTTACTGTAATATATGTAAAATATAATATACTCTTTTCGCCACCATAGCAAAACAAATATTAAAGACAAATGTGAAATATGCAGTTCCTGAATCTGTCAAAGAGATGTTTTCAAGTGTAACATAAATCCATCCATTATCTATACACTGTTTAATCCTCACTAGGGTCANTGTGGGAGGAAGCCGGAGAACCCGGAGAGAACCCACGCTGCACGGGGAGAACATGGAGACTCCACGCAGAAAGATCCCGGGTGTCCTCACCGGGACGCGAACCGGCGACCTTCTAGCTGCGAGGCAATGGTGCTAACCACTGATCCACCTTGCAGCAACACAAATATTTTTTTAAAATAACAGTTATTCATCCATCTTTCTTCTTCCCTGAGGAGTGATATCTTTCCCAGCATACTCTGGGTATGGATCAGGAGTCATAGGTGTGAAGTGAACTATCTCAGGGGACCTAAACGGTGCTAAAGGTTCACAACTAAGAGTTCTTCACACATCTGCCGAGAACAACTTTCACTGAAAATGTGTTTTGACTGCGCAATAAACGATGAAAATTAACAAAATATTTTGAAAACAAATAAAAGTTTGTGTGCTCCACTAGACAACTTGGTGTATTGAGAAAAGCAAAGTGGGAACTTGGCTCTAAGGTTCACTACCTGGACTTGTGGGTCCAGCTGAAGCTTTGGACCTGCTACCCTCCCAGGACTCATGCAGGTTTGGATCCACCATTTGTGTCTCGTTGTATTACTGCAGGTTCCAGTGTTACAGGCAAGACGACCGCCTGGTTTAGACCTCTATCACATTAAGTTCTTGTTTTTGTTCCTGATGACACAACCTTATCTACAACAACACACAATTTCCTTCACTTAACTTGCAAACTAATCAAATGCAGCTCAACAATATGAGCTCTTTCTGAATTAGTCAAAAAGGAAACCAGCATAGTTGCAACTAACTTTTAAAATCTTGTAAATTTCCAATACAGCCAACAAACTGCTTCAGTTTCCTTGGCATCATGATTGACAATAATGTAATGAATTATAGTACTTCGGTGTGGGTTTGGCACTTTTTTGGAAACCTTAGAAAAACTGCTCCATGTGTGAGCATCACATGGACTCATAACTGGAAAAAGACAAAAACGTCCACGCTTTAACAGTCCAAAAGACAGAAATTAGACTTTTTTTTTTTTTTTTCACAACATACGTATAGACAATTCTGAAACTTGGTAAAGCCAAAAATGGCCTTTTAGGTTACAAAATCAACATTATCACAATAAGCTGTGAAGGGATTTTTGTGTTTCTGTTGTTCTATAATTATGTAAATTAGGAACTATGGCATCATTTTGCTAATAGTCATGATGTGACTAAACAATAATGTTGAAGGGAAAATTGTCCTTGGTGTTATGTTATTATGAAAAACACAAGGAGGTGTAATCTGGACTACTAGGCCACAATTTACCCCAGGGTGAAACCAGCATAGGCTATTTTATACCCTGGGTATTTGTTGACCAAGGCCAAACTATGCCCAGGTATATTGTATCAACGGCTCAATCTGGCCTGTTTCACCTGTACTGCTGATAATTATGTGTAACACTTAGGCCATTCTGAGAAGATGATCGCTTAATGTAACTCAAAGCCTTTAATTAGGCATAATTTTAAGCCTTCACACCACTTAGACAGGTGAGTTATATAAACATACAGTCCCTGGACAGGCCCAGCCCAGTTTGACCTCTGGTTGCACATCTAGCAAACAAACAAACACAGATCTACACGTCGACGAGACAATCTCGCTCAAACTACTTCGTGAAACAAACATAGGTGTCACATTTCAGCCTGTTGTCAGTCGTTTTGGTTCATCTGTGGCGCTACTTTAACCATATCCGCTCATTGTGCGGATGTCAATATTGACATGATTGCAACACGCAGTTGCTGCAGATTTGTCGGCTGCACATCCATGATGCGAATCTCCCGTTCCACCACATCCCAAAGGTGCTCTATTGGATTGAGATCTGGTGACTGTGGAGGACACTGGAGTGCAGTGAACTCATTGTCATGTTCAAGAAACCAGTCTGAGATGATTTGCGCTTTATGACGTGGCACGTTATCCTGCTGGAAGTAGCATCAGAAGATGGGTCCACTGTGGTCATAAAGGGATGGACATGGTCAGCAACAACACTCAGGTAGGCTGTGGCATTGACACCATGCTCAGTTGGTACTAAGGGGCCCAAAGTGTTCCAAGAAAATATCCCCCACACCATTACACCACCACCAGCAGCCTGAACCGTTGATACAAGGCAGGATGGATCCATGCTTTCATGTTGTTGACGCCAAATTCTGACCCGACCATCCGAATGTCGCAGCAGAAATCAAGACTCATCAGACCAGGCAACATTTTTCCAATCTTCTATTGTCCAGTTTTGGTGAGCCTGTGTGAATTGTTGCCTCAGTTTCCTGTTCTTAGCTGACAAGAGTGGCACCCGGTGTGGTCTTCTGCTGCTGTAGCCCATCCGCCTCAAGGTTCCACGTGTTGTGCGTTTAGAGATGCTATTCTGCATACCTCGGTTGTGGTTATTTGAGTTCCTGTTGCCTTTCTATCAGCTCGAACCAGTCTGGCCATTCTCCTCTGACCTCTGGCATCAACAGAACTGCCGCTCACTGGATGTTTTCTCTTTTTTGGACCATTCTCTGTAAACCCTAGAGATGGTTGTGCGTGAAAATCCCAGTAGATCAGCAGTTTCTGAAATACTCAGACCAGCCCGTCTGACACCAACGACCATGCCACGTTCAAAGTCACTTAAATCACCTTTCTTTCCCATCCTGATGCTCAGTTTGAACTGCAGCAGATCGTCTTGACCATGTCTACATGTCCAAATGCATTGAGTTGCGGCCATGTGATTGGCTGATTAGAAATTTGCGTTAACGAGCAGTTGGACAGGTGTACCTAATAAAGTGGCCGGTGAGTGTACATCCCTCCTATAAGACATATGGTGTTAATTATGTCTTTATTTGGTCCACAGCTCTACTTTGTGGTCACACTTTTCTCTGTATTGTAATAAAGTCAGAAAAACTAAATCGCCACCACAACAAAACATTCCAGTGAAAGGACTGAGTCATTTTGCAGTTGTTGTGGTTTCACACACAGCAGTGGGATCCAGTGAGACCCCAAAACTCTGAGGACAACATGTCATTTCACTCATCAGAGAGTCTCAAACCGCTGAAATAAGTCTCGAAGCTACTTCATCATGCTGAAATGAAATGTGGCGCACCGTCACCTCCATATCAAACCATCTCAACCGGATCATTGTGCTCCAATTCAAAGCTCTGGTTTGAAATCACATCTGAGGTCAAGCCGCAGCGCATAACTCATCAGTTTCCTCTCATGCTGTTATGTGAATCATCTAGAGGCCTGTTCTGTTTTGAAGGGATGTGTGCAAAGCAGATATGAAACACCTGCTACACCCTGGCCTCCATCTAGCAGATAAGATTAAAAGAACAGGAGACAATATGAGGAGAACCAGGCCAGCTGACTTGAGACTTCATACACGCAGGTGGATGACAAAAAACACAGACAATGCTCTGTCCCGGGAGAGAGGACCACGTTAAAAGTAGCCACGATAACTGGAAACACCCTGTTATCTAATAGGACCACAGGAAGAACCGGGGTAGTGACGGATGACTGTGCAACTTCAGGTTATAAACAACCAGCAGCAGGAGCAGCTGTATGGATGTCAGATATTTGGCTTATGCAGGCAGCCGCACATGCAGGAAAACCTAAAGTGCTCCTACAAAACCTCCCTAGAGGCTCTTTTCTCTATCAGGCTGGAATGTGGTGCAGTTGGCTTACAAATGGCTGCTGTGTTATTCTATATGAAATCAAACAAATGTGCAAAACAAGTTTGTCCTCATAACGTCATAAGTACAGGAGAAATTTCCAGAGATGAGAAACACTTTAGAGCTCTGTTAAAAACTGCAACTAAATCAATTTTACATCCACTCCAACCTAAAGCCAACATCTCGTTTTTGTTCTGCGTGATTTTTCCTACACCGGCTTTGAGCATCAGTATGATGGGATATGTCAGAGTTTCAACAGCAAACCTGCACCACTTTAAAATCTGAGTCATAGAAACAGGCATCGGTACCCTGGATGTGTTTCTGTTTCACCAGAGAAAACTTTTCAACGAGCATTTCAAGTAAACATTTAGGGGTGATTTCACCATGTGGAGGTTGGTCAGAACAAGTGACAGTTGATGTTTACCTGTATTTTGAAACCAGACTCATCTTCTAGCCAAGATTCCTTCTGCATCGAAATACATTTTTAATATCAGCATATTCTGACCCTCACACAATGTAAAATTTGATATTTTATTTACACAAGGACAGCTGCAAGGTGGCTCGGTGGTTAGCACCCGGTGAGGACACCCGGGATCTTTCTGCATGGAGTCTCCATGTTCTCCCCGTGCAGCGTGGGTTCTCTCCGGGTTCTCCGGCTTCCTCCCACAGTCCAGAAACATGCTGAGGTTAATTGGTGATTCTAAATTGTCCGTAGGTGTGAATGTGAGTGTACTTGGCTGTCTGTCTCTAAGTGTAGCCCTGTGATAGACTGGTTACCTGTCCAGGTGAACCTGCCTTCACCCTGAGTCAGCTGGGATAGACTCCAGCCCCCCATGAGGGTTAAGGTGTATAAATGATGGATGGATGGATTTACACAAAGAATTACAGCTTTGCATACACTGTCTTTGGACTGTGGGAGGAAGCCGGAGAACCTGGAGAGAACCCACTCTGCACAGGGAGAACTTGCAAACTCCACATAGAAAGATCCCAGGTCGAGGCCAGGATGTGAACCGGGGACCTTGTAGCTGTGAAGCGACGGTGCGAACAGCTGCAATACCGTGTCACCAGCAACAACAACATCTTCACCAGATTTCCTGGTGATCCACTCAGTAGTTCTCCAGAAACATCAAGCTCATGGTTCCACTAGAGGGAAAGTAAGTTTGATCCTCTGAGTAATATGAATGTCTGTACACGTTTCATGGCAATCCATTTATGAACAGTTTAGAGTTGTGGACAGTGTTCAGTCAGGACTAAAGTGACAGACTTAATAACAGCACAACATCATGTCAAGCCATGCTAGAGTGGCTGAGACTGTGTCACTGTCCAAAAAAATTAATCCACTCGATAACCCATGAATATTGCCAGCTATGCTTTTATTAGGGGATCCTCGGCTCTAAAGTTAAACACCACGATGAAGCAAAAGGGCAAATTCCCAAATTCTACAACATTTTCATTTTTATCAACTCACAAACAAATCTAGAGCAACCAAATGAAGCAAACCTTCAAACCAGGCTGACGGTGTCCTCTAGCGTCTTTGTTCATTTTGCTCAGTCACGTTGGAGCTCTTTCAGAAGTTGGCCGTCTGTGAATCTAACACCGATAAACAAGACGAAAACTGGCAACACCTGGTCGCTCTTGTAAATGGCTTTGTGACTAACACTGAATAAAGTTTGCCTCAGAATGTCAGATCATTCCATCGACATAATTACCGAGCGTGCTGAGTGACTATCACGTATCTCAACCCGTGATGAACTACAAGCAATTTGGGTTTCCAATGATATCTGAAGAGAAAGTGAATGTGGATGACACACGGTATCACTTCTCCGTAAATCAGCATGAGAACCAGGAGACACCGTTGGCTGTTGCCTCTATCGATGGCCCGATAACACTTTCCTATCGACTGTTTTTGTCTTCTTGTCTGTAGGCTGTTAAGTCCTCAGAGACGTGACAATTATGATCCTCGTATCTGGACGGCCTACGTTCTCGGGAAGGACGGCAACCAGACACTGCTGTCCTGATAAGAGGTATTATGGTGCAAACAATTAGGTGCTGAAAGGCGTAACAAAATCACTTGTTGTTTCCTCACAATAAAGGAAACACATCTACGATTTTACCGTGGAGTAATGGGACTGTCGCTGTGGGAGAAATTAGCATGTCAGTGTGTGTGTGTGTGTGTGTGTGTGTGTGTGTGTGTGTGTGTGTGTGTGAGGTGAGGAGGTGGAGCTTCCGTCACTCACCTCCTGATGGGGTGGATCACCTTCAAGGACTTCAATAAGAAGGTAGAACCATCGTTTGAACTCTCAGTTTCACAAACTCACAAGAACTTGAGGTAGTCTTTCAGAACGAGGAGAAGAAAAAACAAAAAACAGTAAGTTTGATGTTTCTGTTTTTATATATAGAGGCTTACAATCATACATATTAGAAAGGATAATAATAATAATATATAAAAATGACCAAGAAATGGGTCACTCTGGCTGTAAACTACTAACTATGCAATGCTCTGATACAGACTAGTCAGTTGTGTATATATCCATGTGTTGTTTGTGTGTGTAATTATTCAGTGTCGGGTCGGTTAAAGGTTTTTCAGAAGTTATTGTTAGATTGAAGCAGTTAAAACAAGAATGCATCTGAATTTGTCAAAGTCAGGTGTCTCTACTGCCAATGCCAATTATTTCAGGCACTTTTGAGCAGTAATGTGAATAACGACTACAAAAACTACACTTGGATTATAAAGTTGTTAAAACGTCTGCTCAGGCATCCATCAGACACAGAACAACATCCATCTCTCATCCTTTTGCTATATTTGACCAATTCAGAGGTCAAACTGTTTTTTTTTTTACTCATTATTTTGACTTTTTGGTCCAAACTGGGCTCAGTTTGGTTTACAAGTGTCAACTGTGTTTATAAAGCTTTGCACCATGAGTATTTAAATGAATGTAACGTTGCTTTAAGCATTTTACACCCTGAACCTATATTCCTCATATGATTTGTAGATTACCAAATCCATACTCGTTCAGTCATACGCTGTATTTTATGGGTAAAACATTGACGTAAACATGGATAAATAGATAATTCACTTTTTTTGCTGCACATAAAAACATTTGAGTCACTGTAAATATGAAAAATATGGCTTAATGCAGATGTAGACACATTCCATTGAAGCGGCTTACAGACGATCCGACGAGCACAACTGCTTCAAAGTGTGGGCCAGATTTTCAAAGTAAAACATGAGCCTGAGTGGTCCGAACAAGTGATGTAACAGATGTGTCCTGAACACTGTCTTCAGATGGTTGCATTACCGGTTTTGTTCCTGCTGGGGTCGCTGTTTTCCTGTGGTCCAGTGGAGGCAGATTCTACCACAGCAGAGATGCTGAAAGAGGCTGCAAGTAAGCTACAAAAACTAATTTGCTCCTTTCACCGGGCACTACTCTACAGAATAAATGCAAATACACTCACCAGCCATATAACGCTGGCATTAATGAAGCTACTACATTATCAGTTTTTGTTGATGTTGTCCAAAAACGATCCTGTTATTCCACCTTGTCTTTATTATACTAGACTGCATTGCATTTAAAGCTGTTCCTAATATTTTACTCCCCTCATTGACATTCATGAGGGGCAAAAAATATGAAGAATTATATGTAATGTATATTTCATATTCATGGATCGTGCTATCCAGCCCTGTACCTCTTGTGAATGCTTTGCAACCCTAATATCAGCTGTTTCTAGCTTTAATTTACTGAGATATACTCAGCAGAGCGAGCGTGATCATACAGTTGAGCTCATGTCTTTTCGCTTTCCGACCCTGTCTCCATCTTATTCCAGTCCAGTATAAGGGACCCCTGACTTGTAAGGCGTGGGACTGCAATTGTACTTTCACTCACCAGCGTGGTTGCTGCTGTGCAGCCAACGATTGGTACCAACTCGAAGACGACACCTTCACGAGGATGAAAAACTTGTATCACGACCTCATAAAGCTGAATAGCAAAGCATTGATGCTCATTGGTAAGCACTCATTGAAAACTTATTAGAAAATCAGTGCTCTTTTGTGGACTCTGAGCTTGTTGGACAATGAATGCTTCTCTCTTATTCTCAGATGGAGCCAAGGTTGCCTTCAAGGCCACCATAGACCCGAATGCTACCACTCATGGAAACTGCTTTGGGCCTTTCAATATTGACATGCCAATCCCCTACGGCATTGTCAGCTTTAACGATGGCTATGGATATAACCCCAACTTGGGTAGGAAACACACACATGGGCGTAAACTCAAAGGACTTCATCATGTAAGACATAAACCACTGCAGCTCCACTAACTCTCCACCTTCCTCTCCAGGTATCTTCACTGCCCCCTGTGCTGGCGTTTACGTCTTTTCTATCACAATCTATTCATCTGTGGACAAGGACAGCCGCCTCTACCATGACGTAAAAGAACCAGACTCTCTCATTTCAGAGCATGAGTTCACCTGCGCACCAACAGTTACTGCTTTGTGTCTTACTGTTGTGTTTTGTTGTACCTGTAGGTGCGGCTGATGAAGAACAAGCTGATTTTGGTCAGTGTGTGGGAGAACAACCGAGAGGATCACGAAGACAACGCCAGTCAGGTACGACGCGAGATGAATCTGACTGCATAAAGGGTTGCTGCAATGCGATCAAGTGTTAGGATTGTAGTCCTGATTGCAAATTGAGAAAACTGCTTGTTGTGCATCTCTGTTCTCAGGTTGTGGTGGTGGAGATGCATAAGGGCGATCAGGTCTACGTGGAGCTGATCGCTGGGAGGAATCTCTGCAGATCCCTCAAGTACAACATCTTCACTGGCTACATACTCTACCCCTACACCGACGACAAATTGCTCTACTACGACTACAGCGATTAAATCGATTTGTCCTCGTACAGCTGACATCCAAAAACCTGTGGTCTTTGTCTATGCTGACCCAACAGATGTAGGTTTGTGATCTATTGTGGGTCTAGTTTATGAACCTCTGCAGTAGATAGAAGCAAAATGAGATGCATGTCACACACACACACACAGCACAAAAACAGCATGTTGCATTGTTCGGGAACATCTATATTATTAAAAAATATACATGTTTGTGAATGAATTACCACAGCTACCATGAAAATCCATGTGAAGAAGTGTGAGATGGTTTTGATTTGGAAGCAATAAAAGTTTATTTGACAGGTGACGTATCTTTATTTTCAATGTCAACACACGCATACACATCAACCATGAATGGAGATATCCGTCAGTCGGAGCTCGTTATATAATTTGGGACTGATGACGGCAGGTCACGACACTGCTGCTGTTAGCATTTAGCCTACGACAGAATAGTATGACACCGAACACACGCGCCTTTCATGGAAACTCACTACAGACGAATGTAAACCATCACCAGACAAAGTAAATTCTTTCAGTTGACCAAACAAATGATGTAGGAACAGGTTACGCACATGCTGCACACACTTTTAGACACAAGCACGCACACCTACACACACACACACACACACACACACACACTGTGAGAGTTTGGACATACCAGTCATTCCAGTAGGAAGCCTCTGAGGTAGGAGGAAGCGTCGGCTCGTGGGTCCACACTGATGCTTTAAAGGGATAGTTTGGGATCATGTTT